CCTACTGTACAGAAGAGTGACATCCACTTACCCACCTTTTTTCTTTTGACTCCCTCCCACCTACACTAAAAAAAAGTACCTATCATCTAGATCTAATTTCCTACCAGAAATCACTCTATCTCTATGCAATAGGTATTCAAGATACGGGAATTTTTTTTTAGTCTTAAAATGTGCAGGTGTTATAACTCTTAAAAACCATTTAGGTAGACATTAAATATTAATTATTGTAGTAGTGTAGTACCATTTCGAGTTGGAGATCAAAAATAAGAATCTAAAATGTGAAAAATAATTCGTTAGGTTAGCGGTTACTTAAACATATAATGATACGTGTATAGTACTGGAAAGTTTTATTAATAATTCTACTATAGTATTATGCAATATTAAATATTATAGTCGAGTGTCGACCCCATTTGAAGCGTTTCATCATATTTTCATCCAGCTTTTACTGGAAGCAAATTCAACTGTATGCCGCCGTCTTTTATGTCCCTCTGCACCGACGCCGGCCGGGCAATAGTCTTTAAGTAGTAGGTCAGAGCGGCTTTCAGGTCTTTGTTCTCCTGTGCGGCTTTTGTTCGTCTGACGTCGAGCTCTTGACACTGCACATCCACTCGAGCGTAACGCTTCCAGAATTTTGACATTTTATCGAATTCCTAAAACGAACACTAGAGATTATTTTAATTATTTAACATTACGATTTATTAGGTACCTACTGTCACGGTGTCATTGCAGCTAATAATTGCTATTAAAATTTGTTACTACACGACGGCGTATATTATTGTTTATTTGTTTATACACCATTCGGTTTTTTTTTTATTCGCTTGAGATATTATAAGTAATTGTCTCCCGCATATTTGTCTTAATTTTCTAAGCTGATTTTTTTTATGATTTACAAATGCATTAAGGTCTTTATTAGCAGTGCTTTATTCTTGCTAATTAATAAACAATTTTTGTTTTTGCAGTGATTTTGTAGTAGGTAGGCTTTTTTTTAAACGACACCAATATTATATTTTATTTGAACACCTATAAGAAATTAAAACTACTGTACAACAATTTAGTGTTCTTATAGCTATTAGGTACCTATACTTCAAATTATACAAAAACAATATTTTTCAAAAACCAAATTTGAATACAATTTATATTTGAAGTGTGTTTTGCATTTAAAAAAAACTATCCTGCTCCTGCAGTATAATAATTTATAATAATTAATAATATTTAATAACTAATAAACTTATATACCTAACTTTAATACATTTTGTACCTATAATATGCACTGTGTGTATTTATTTTAATGTATAAACTATAAAGGTAATAACTAATAACTATGCAACCTATGCCTTAAAGCCTATAGGGACCCTACATAGGGTATTAGGGTATTATAGTCTATAATATGTATAACTTACTCCTTCGTTATTGTCTTCGTCGGGACAGATTAGGTTATTATCATCTTCATTCATTAGTTTGGCACAATTGTCCGCTGTTTTAATTATTCTCTCGCCTTTTTTTGAAATATTTGTTAATTTCTTAACGCAACATCAACACAAACAAATCATTTAATTTTTAAATAGAAAAATAATATTGTATACCCAGTGGTGGATTTACGTTGGTGGGGGGAGCAGGGGTACTGGACCACCAGACAGCGATATAAATATTTATTTTATATTATGATATACACTATAGCAGGGCTTGAAACTGGTATTGAAATCGGTTTCATATACCGGTTAAAACCATTACAAAATCGAAATCGAAATTGAAATCAAAATTGAAACCGTAAAATGTTGATAACGGTATTATAAATAATAAAAGAAACGAATAAAAGTTGAAAACCGTTTTGAAAATTAAAATCAATACCAGAAAAAATAGATAACGGTATAAGTAAACGAAATCAAAACAGAAAAAAAATATATTCATTATTGTAAATTAAAATCAAAACCTATAAAAACGGAAAACGTTATCAGAAAATCTAATCAAAACTGAAAAAAATAGATATTGCTATTAGAAATTGAAATCAAAACCGAAAAAAACGGATAATGCTATTAGAAATTGAAATCAAAACCGAAAAAACAGATAATGTTATTAGAAATTGTAATCAAAACCGGAAAAGGCGGATACCGCTATTATAAATTGCAAAATGTAGTATACACTGGATAATAATAAGAATAAAACTTTACTACCAAATTATTAGAAGGGCTCATTGACGCCTAACTAGAACTCTGCATTCATGTTCCAGGCAACACTATCGGTCACAACTCACAAGATTATTTTTCCCGCCAATATGCAAAACGAATTTTGCTAAAAATTCCCCATTCATAAGAATGATGTCCATTACCATTACCAATAATAGTAAGTCTCTAGTACCAAGGCCACATTAATGTTTGTATAATTTTATATTGTTACTTTGTTACTTCATTATTACTATCATTATTTTACTATATTATGTTCATCTATATAAATATAATATGTGATGTCCCATTATATATCTTGTATGTAAAAAGCCGAATGGTGTTAATTCATATAAATAAAAAAATAAAAAGGGGGGTCAAGTTGATGTCGCTCTGCTGTACAGTAGTTTATAAGTTGGTCACTGTAATGGATGGTATTAAATTTGAATCCAATGATATAATATCATTGTATACGAAAAACGATTCTCAGCGAAGACTGTATGCTATGATACTACTACAATAGGTAGGCATATTTTATTATTGTTATTAAAGTAATTAATTTCAGTATTAGGCATTAGTATCTACTACAGTAGGTTAAATTCATTTGTCCCAAAACAAATACATTTTTAAATGTCATTGTGTGTATACATTTTATTTAACAGTCCCCATTTTTTAGTGAACCCCGACACAAAGTGTGTAGTCCAAAATTGAAAGTGTGAACTACGGATATGATAAGTGTGTACTATATAATAAAATATAAGACTATAACAATAAATAGATTATAATTTATAGGTAGTAATGTACGATGTAGTACCTATACATAGTAGGTATACTGTATATTAATTAATACATATAAATATGTATACAGCGGTTATTTTATATTAGAAATAGTAATTCAATAACAAATAACAATATTATATATTTATATATGATAATATACATAATATGTATGTCTACATAAATTCTATCAATTATTATAAATAAAATTATTATAACCGTCGTCTAGAAGGAAACTCCGTCAAGCCTAATACGAGAGAGTACAAGAAAATGACAAATTATTAATTGAAATAAATCCATCTATTATTAACAGCCAATAGGCACTACGAATAAAATTCCAGTGACGCTCCACGTGGAGCAATTAATTTAATAATTATTTTATGTAAATAATCGATACAATATTTCTTATCGATAGATTGTTAAATGAAAACAATAGTTGAATAGTTTGAGTAAATGATTTTATATCGATTTTTAAAATTCGATAGTAGACATAACGCGAGAGACGCGATAGTTCAGTGCGCGTGATTCAAGAGTAAAATGTCGTATATAATATTTATAGGTATCGCAAGATATCGGTTTTGTGTTTTTCCGTCTTTATCATACACCGTCAAGTCATAAAGTATAAATAGGGAAATTTAATTTGGTGACTATAACCATTGAACAACACTAATCACTAATATTCACTATTACAGTTGTCCTACACGCGTCTTGTGTCTACACTACATTTGACTATTTGAGATTTGCCATTCTGCCATCAGACGTCGACTCTGCACGTTACTAATCTTTAATTTATGCACGTTACTATATTCAATTTATATCTTATACTACATTCACTAATTCACTCAAACTATTAAAAATAAACATATAAGTACATATTCATTAAATACAGAATGTATTTATTAATATTAATCAGCATTAAAATAATAAAATGTAATCTTCCCTTATCCTTCCATTTGTCATATTGCCTGAATTGTATACTGCATTACTGCCACACCAATACAACTAAGTTATAAGTTACAACCACTAATATCAGTTATCAATATATTCAAAATTATAAATGCAGTACCTACCTATCTATAAAGTTAGGTTTATTGGACTTATGAAACTTAATTGTAGAAACTATGAACACTATCTGTGTTCACACCCTACTCCCCGCACAGACCACCATTGGTTAGTCACTTATTTTTGTATGTTATGTGTTAGTAAGACAGAGAAAAGACATACGATTACAATGTCCTCTTAAATACTTGTTTACAATTTTTTAAACTTAAAATTTAAAGGTGAAACCAACATATTTTATTTTATTGCAATTGTTATTTCATTATTTGAAATCGAAATCGAAAATAAATAAAACTGGTATTCAAAGTCAAAACGGGAAACGTAATTTACCAAAAACGGTATTTTAAATTGAAATCAAAAACAAAAATATATAAAACATTAAAACCGGTATGCAAAATCAAAACGGAAAACATAATTTCTTGAAATCGTTATTTGAAATGGAAATCAAAATCAAAAATATTTAAACCGGTGTGCAAAGTTAAAATGGAAAAACGTAATTTATCAAAAACGTTATTTCAAATTTAAATCAATACAATAAAATTACTATACAAAACCGGTAAGCAACGTATTAATTGAAACTAAAATTTTTTAAAACCGTTATCTGAAATCAAAATCGAAATCGGTAAAAGTAAATACCTACCGGTAACCGAAACCGAAATTGAAATCCAAAAAATTTTTTTCGGTTTCAAGCCCTGCACTATAGTATATAGCCATATTGGGTTATTTATATACCATTATGTGTATTTCAAATATACTGAAATAAAAGGTACCTTTGAAATACATATTGTTTTTCAGGACCCCCCCCCCCTAGAAAAAATGTTAAAAATCCGCCACTGTGTATCTAAGCATAAACTTGATCATCCTTACGTCAATAACGTTTTTGTATACTTTCGTCATTGCTTCAAGTTTATTTTTATACTCATTTCGATTAACGTTTAGTTGATTTTGTGCCACGAAACCTCGTTTTATGAGGTCTTCACGGTCCCGTTTCAATTCATTTTCTCGCTGCGCATACTGGGCTTCGCGTTTGGCACATAGCTGTGTTAGCATTTTGATCTCTTCCTATATTTACATAATATAATACTTGTAATGAGTATCGAGTAAACGCAATGTCTCTATGTCAGTAGTCATTAAAGTCAGTAGTCAGTACCTACTGGCTACTTATATAGTTACATATTATATGATACGATATATCACATAAATACATAATACGAGTAGCCGAGTAGGTAATTACCTATATTTTATACTATGATCTACGAATCTATTTAATAAACTAATAAAGTGTACACCAACAATTCTACAACAAATTTGAAATTTCCTAGTCAACCTGTGTGATTTTGTAAGGTTTTTGTTTAGTTTTTACTTTATAGTTTGAAGTAGACAAGTAGGTTCTTATTTTGATTACGGTCTCATTTTAAATGGCAATCTTGCAAAAATTTATTTTTATATCTCAAGCAGTACCTACTTATACTATTCAAAAAAAATTTGATGAACCCACCTATAAATATTCTTAAATTGAACAAATACTTTTTGATAAAAGTATTTAGAAAGATCAAAATTACTTATTGCATTTCAGAATATAAAACTAAAATTATGGGTTTGTATTAAAAAAAGTAAAATATCAAAACATTTACCAAGATAAAAAAACAGAAATTTACCAACTTGCCAATTTTTGGTAGAAATGTACCTAGTGTTATAAGTAAAAACAAATACAAAATCAACTATATTACGCACAATATTATTTTACGAATATCAAAAATTAATTGGGTTTAGTACGTTAAATGGTTTTGTATTTTCATACCTACGTTTAAACTACAAGTGCTCTAAGTGCTATAAGCTATAAGTGTGATCTATATTATTATATTGTTATTTGTTGAGTATCCAAAAATGGTATGTATTGATATACAGATATTTGCAGATTGTATTTAGCAAAATCTCAACAGTGCGTTGTATGTTGACTGCAATTTAAGTATCTATTGCATTTGTTATGAATTATATTTATGACATATATAGTGATATATTATAGATAAATAAATATAAATGTATAACAGGCGTACAGAATATGCATGAATTCGTTTGTTGTTCTCTTCGATAGATGCAGTGTTGGCTTCATCTCGCATTTTTAAATAATTGTAATGATTCTTTTTAGACTCAGTTTCATTGCTGTAATCGTCTAGGACTTTTTGAAATTTCTTCATGGTCGTTTGTATCTCCGCGAAACGTATTTTTGTGAACCTATCTTTCTCGAAAAGCATCTAAATTCGAACAACAGACACCCACGAGTTACAATAATAATGTTATAGGTAAGTTAATAAATTTTTATTTCTTATTAAGTAATACATATAAACGTTTTTTTTCAGATTTAAAATTATGAAAAATTATGTTTTTGTACTTGTGCATTCAATTATTTATGTACATAGTTAATTTAAACAAAAAATATAGGTACGTCCTATACGCCTTCGCCTATACACAATAGGACATATTAATATATAGGTACCTACCTCATTGTTTAATACGGCAATCGAGTCTTCAAAATTTATGTGGGTTTGTTGTGTGTCGTCGTCGTTGCGTGCTTCGAAAATAATAGACATAAGGTCCAATCTCTCGTCGTCTCTACTGAATATATCTCTCATCCATCTAAAGTTATGTTTCAACTCGTCTAACAATAACTGCTTTTTGTGTTCGTAGCGAGCATGAAGTTCTTCTAACGATTTCTCATGGATACCTATTAAAGCAATATAAAAAAGTTGGTATGTCATCATTCCAAAAAAAGGTGGGCAAGTGGGTGTCGCTCTGCTGTACAGTAGGTTACAAGTGGGTCACTGTATAATGGATGGTATTAAATTTGAATTCAATGATATAATATCATTGTATAAGAAAAACGATTCTGAGCGGTGATGGTATGTCAGTCTATGTATAAGGCATATTATATACATATCTATGGTATTAAACAAAAAATTGACCTATAATAGGTACCTATAATAAATTCCAAATTAATCATATCACAATATCCATTAGATACTTATAACGCGTTATACATCAACAAAAACCGTGATACTATCATAGATATATAATAGTACACTTTAGAAGTTTCAAGTACCCACGAATAGTATTATTCAATCACAACAAAATAACTAAAATCGTAATTCTTGGTTTAAATATGAAATTTTGTCTAAACTTGAAATTAAAATGTCTGTAAAAAATAAGTGTGTTTATATATTTTTTATATTTTTTGGTTACAGTATGAATTATTTAAGAGAATCTTTGTTTTAAATTTTCAACTCTTAGTTATAAAAACTGAACATTTTATAATTTTTTAATTCCAACGATTGATAATTTCGAGATTTTGATAAATTTTGTCAAAATTCCAACTTTAAATGCTTATAAAAAAAATCGTGCCTATGTATTTTTAAAATTTTTCAACTGATATTGTAACAATATATAAGAAAGCTTGTATTCAATTTTCAGACTTTTTGGACCACCAAATAAAATTTTATTGACAATTATAAAAAAAAAAACTAAAAAATTGAAAACTGAAAATGTCCGTAAACAGCTCAAAAAGAGTCAAAATATTTTCAAAATTGTATGGTGTATAGGAAATGCTAATATAAACATTCAGTGGAATTTTCATATTTCTATAGTTATTCTTTTATGAATTACAACAAAATAAGGAAATCGCTACATGAGAAATCGAGTGAACATCCAATGTTGTAAAAATTTGAATTTCAAACGCTCATAAAAATTTAATTTGACTGTCCGGTAGAGATTTTTTTATTGATAAAGGTAGACAAACTTATGAGTAATCTTGTATTACATTTTCAAATCTTAGATTTAAACAGAAAAATTTTTGCGAATTCTTAACTCAAAATAATTTGCTAATTTTCGTGATTTTTCCATATTTTGTCAATTTTTGAACTTTAAATGCTTATAAAAAAAAACTGTGACTAACGATTTTTAATATTTTTCATCTGCCTTTGAAACAATATACTAGGAGTCTTCTATTAAATTTTCAAGTTTTTTTAACCAACAAATAAAATTTTATTAATATTTCTAGAAAAATAACTAAAAAAAAATGAAAAATGAAAATGTCCCTAAACAGTTCAAAATAAATCAAAATATTTTGAAAATGTTATCGTGTATAGAAAATGCAAATATAAACAACCAGTGAAAATTTCATGTATCTACGGTCATTTGTTTTAAAGTTACACCAAAAACCAAATTCGATTTTTTGGAAAATCGATTTTGCGTAAAAATTCCCGTTTTTCCTTAATTTTTATGTTGTTTTTCCCGGCGCTTGTGAAAACTACTGGAAAATGTTTACTTTTGACCCCCCAAAGTACCAACTAGATTCACTTTCCTATCAGAAAAGGTACTATTGAAGAAAATCGAAGCACTTTTACTGTCCAAAAACGTGATGACAGACACAAAAAAAAATATAAAAATATAAAAATATAAAAATATAAAAAAAAACACACATCATTGTAAAACCAATACATTCATCGCTCCGCTCAGAATCTAATATGTGGGTATAATATAATATTATTGTAATTTAAAAAATATACTTCACATCAAATTCAGGGGAAATTAGTTAATAATGATAATAATAATACAACTATGGTAGTATGGCAGAAAAACTAGAATAACGTACCTAACTATCTAAAAACAAATAAATATAAAATTACCAATTAAAAAATGGAAGTATTCCCTTGTTATATAAAAATAAGAGAAGAAGTGATAACTCACCGACCCTAGTCCTAGTGAGAATAGGACAAGCACACTTAACTCAGAAATCGCCACTCCTAAACGCCCAAAATAAACCGAAACATCGTAAAATGTTCAATATAACTCAGCATCACCGCAACGAGCACTCAGACTCATGTAATGATATACTCACCCATAATTATAACAAATAAACTAAAATGTAATAAACTAATAAAAAACGGCCAGACTGTCACACGTAGAAATCGAACATGCCCAATAAAACTATTATCATCGACAAAAAGGTACCATCTGTATTACCTATATACGATCACGAATTAAGCAATTGGCACGTATTTGCGACAGTAGAGCGTTTGTAGAGAGGCTTTTTTATATGCTACCAGAGAAAATGAATGGTTGAAAAAGGTCTCTGCCACCAAAGAGAAATCTAGTTCCCGGATGCTTAATAAATACCTTTGATAAAACCACCCGCCGCCAGCCAATCTCTGGTCAGCATATCTGTGTCGTCCCTTTAACCAGTGCTTCAACACTAGCCATCTCAGACCCCAGTAACAACCCCTAATATAGCGAATCCTACGAGCCACAACTAGACTCCTCATGACGAGCAATAATATCAGTTTGTGTTCAATGTTCATTATTTCGATCTGTGTATTTTTAAGTGTTACTTTTTGTAACCTATAAAATTGCTACAGCATAGCCCCGAAACAGCTGCGAGTCAGGTAAGACATTTAATATAACGAACTATATTGATTGCGGTCTGTGACATAAGTATAAATGTATAGGTAATATGTTGGGGTCAAGATTCTTGACTCAAGAATATAATTCACATTATATTTATGAGCTAAAAATATGGACTCTAATAGGCTAATTTAATTCGTTTTAATGAAATTTTCATTCGTCAAAATGTTTTATTTTTCTTTATAAATATCACTATTAGCTTAAAACTTAAGTAATGTAGGTACTTATATCCCAAACTTATATATCCAACAACAGTATCATTATGCTGAAGGGGAGTTTCAAACATATTATAACTACCTATTGTTATTTATACCTAATTATATTATTTGTTTAGCTAAATCAATTTTATATTATTAATAATCTATGAGTAATTATTATTAATATTATTTTTTTTTTATTGTTCTTAATTGACATCAGCGTCGATGGTCATTAATTACAATTTAGTATTTACAATTACAATTTTTTTTTTAATTTTATTATACAGTTTAGTTTTGAGTAAGAATTTAAGGGTTTGTGTGGTGGTGTCTGCATTTGGTCCGAGTGCTGCGTCTGTACTATTGTATGTTAGTATATTTCAATAATAGATGTTCGTTACAATACTCTAAGGACTACCTAATTTTATTATATTGTTAGTCACTAAAATAAATTTAACCGGAAGCCTAAAATCTAATAAATTGATCTGGTCATAGGTTTATAAAATATAATATTTAAATATGAAGAATAAATATCTCATGGAATTATTGAACTGTTCCAAGTTCTAACTGCAGATAATAGATAAACGATGACAGCTGGTAGGTAAAAATACATTTCAATATTGATCTCTCAATGGGCTCCAACTAAATACAATTTTGTATCATAAATCACCCTTGTTCCTTAGAATTGAAGATTGAATCATTTTTTTACTATAAAACTTGTACCTACCCATACACAAAAAAACACAAGTCATTGTAAGTCAATACATCCATTGTTTTACTAAGATTCTAAAAGACTTTAAATGAGTAATTATGGTAAGATTATTGTTAATTTAATTTTATTGTTTTATAGAGAGTCAATGGAGACACATTAGGATATTCACAAGCTTCGGTTTCTATTGTAGTTAAAGAAGTATCGGGATTACAAGCTAAATGTGGAAAAAAATGGATTCGATTTCCATCAAATTTACAAGACACTAAGGAACAATTTTATTTAATTGGTGAATTTCCTGGTGTAATTGGAGCTATAGATTGTACACATGTCCCTATTAAAAGTCCCAGAGGCAACAACGCAGAAATGTATTGAAATCAAAAAGGATGGATGCCATTAAATGTTCAAATTGTTTGTGGTCCTAAAATGCAAATTTTTGACATAGTCTGCAGATGGCCCGGTTCAAACTAATGTAATTAATAAGAAATCGTATTAGCAATATTTGATATTATTATCACAGATAAGTCAGCTAATCTGTGGCAATAAAATATTAATTATGCTGATAACAATAAAATTATATATAATCTCCTGAACATTTTGCTTTTAAGAAATATTTTTACTTGAAATATTCTTAGAAAAATCTTAGCTAAGAAATAACTTAGTACCCTTTATAAATACCACTTGTGAGTTAGTGAAAAATATTTACTTAGCAAAGTTGAATATAAGTAAAATCTTAGTATCGTCTATAAATTTGGCCATTAACCTGGAAGTATAAAATAAGCACTGCAAGTCTGCAGTGTATAATACGAATCGAAACACAAATCCTTGTTCAAATATTATAGTTTAATACATTATAACTATACGGGTATATATCATTGATAAGACCATTAGTCTTGGAAAAATAAACGGGCCGAAAATCTTAACGATTGTTGATTAGAAAAAACGACTTCGCAACGACCATACTCGCGTCGTTGTGTACCCGTTGTCTGGGAAATGTTTGAATTTTTCGAGTAAACT